AAACCCACAAACCACGAGATCGTGACCCGAGCCGAAATCCAGAGTCAGATGCTTAACCAACTGAGCTAACCAGGAGCCCCACCTATTTTATTCACAGATTTATTAACAAAGATTCAGAACTTGGAGATAATCTAGACAAAGATGGAGGAGACAGGCTCTCTGTTACATTAATGGCAGACACATAAATTATGAATACAGCTGATCGGAGGAGCGGTTAAGCAACGGCTATGAAAATTTTCGACTCCTTTGCCCCTCCATCCAACAATTCCACTTCTAGGAAAGTATCCTCTGGGTAGTCTCAGCCAAGTCATGAAAAATGTATGAGGGTAGGTTAAGCATCCTTAAGTCAGGCTCAGCGGGGTAAGCGCCTGACTCTTGGTTTCTGCTCAGGTCATGGTCTCATGGCTGGTGAGTTTGAGTCCCGCCTGAGGCTCTGCACTGACAGTGCTTGGGGTTCTCTCTCCCTCTCTGCCCCTCCCCCGTTCACGCTGTCTGTCTCTGTCTCTGTTTCTCTCAAAAGAAATAAACTTAAAAAATATGTACGAGGGTGGACTGGGAGAGGGGAGATTGGGAAGAGAATTTAAAAGAAAAAATGTATGAGGGTGTTCATTCCAACATGTGTTAGCAAAAAACTAGAGGCAGCAAGCCAAATACTCCTCAACAGGAGAATTTAGAAAGAGGTCCAAAGTAAATTAATTGGAAGGGGCTGGTTGTAACCGTATGTATCTGGTATGATCATGACTCCCTTTAGGTACGTTCATGTTATACACCCACATATCCACACACGCGTACTCTATCTCAATCTATAGAATGGTTGCCTCAGAGTGTCACCTGGGGAATTCAAATGGGCAGCTTGGACTTCCTGTACTGTTTCACTTTATTTCCGTGAGTGGATATCACTTTTATGAATTTTTAAAAAAGAGTTAATTCAAGTGCAGTTGTTAAAAAAGCAGATGGCAAATAAACTTTTAAAAAGATCTTCTGAGCATTGAGTAGGGTATAGAATTGTTGAATCATTATGTGACATGCTTGAAACTAGTGTAGTACTGTATATAAGAAAAAAAGAAAAAGAAAAGACAAAAAGAGTTCGAATTCTCCTAGGTTCTCAGCCTCTGCCTCTCACTCTACCCTCGTGCTAGGCTTGTTCAGCCATTCTCACCCTCTCGCATTACACTCCTGTGATTCATCCAGTCTTCCTACCATCCCTCATATCTCAAGCCAAAAGAGTCCAGTAAATCTTGACTTCTTTCCTTTCCCTCACCATTCACATCCAGTTGGTCACTGCCGTTGACTCTACCCCAAAAGTGTGAGTCATGTTCCCTTCTTCTGTCTCCTTCTTTCCTCAGGAATAGCCTTTGTCATTCTCTCACCAGTAATCTCAAAAAGCCTTCTAAATGGTCCCTGAGTCTCCCGTCTCCTCCTGGTGGTGAATCCTCGGTGTCCCCAGAAGTACCTCAGAAGCTTCTTTGGTTGCCTACTAATTGTAGAATAAAGTGTTCAGCCCTTAAATGTTGGTTATTTAAAAATATTACTGAACCCTTGAATGTGCCTGGCGTCATGTTGGACACTTAGGATATAACTGCTGAGTAGAAGCAGACTCAGGCCTGCTCTCCAAGGTTTCCAACCCATTGACCCCTTCACAGCGAGGTCCTTGCCTCACGACTTTCTATCTAGTGGCAGAGATAAGTACTCTGAAGAATGAAATCAAGTGCACAGGGTGGGTAGCTGGTGGCAGGGAGCCTCCTCTAGATAGAGTGGTCAGGAAAGGATTTTCTTGAAGAGATGACATTAAATAAAGCTGAGGCCTGAGTGATGACAAGAAGGAGCGAGTCATGTGACAAGTAGAGTAAAAGCCCTCAATGCAGAAGAAACAGCACAGAAAAAAGCCCTAAAGTGGGAATACCTTTGGTGTATTTATTGTCTGTCTCTTCCATGAAATAAAAGCTCCATAAATACTTTTTGCCTGTCTCGTTCACCTCTGTATTCCCAGGCTGTGTCTGGCACAGCAGAACGATGGAAAGAAAATGTGGGATATAGTAGGTGCTCAGGAAATATTCGTTGCATGAGTGAATGAATCGTCCACAACAGAAGAGATTGCTCCCGCAGTATTTTATACTGTACCTTTATTTGGATACTTTCACAGTGTGTGACTTGGGTACCTGTTGGCCTCTCTCTGCCAAGAGCTGGAGAATGGGGGCCGTTCTTTGTTCAAATTCATCTTTGTTCTCCCCATTACTGACACAGTATTTAATCTCGCTTTAAGCCCTCCAGTGAAAGTAGAGTTGAACACTCAGTCTAAGTATAAAAATGAACTTTTTCTATGGAAATAAGTATGTTTTTCCAGTGTCTTTTTCTGCCTAGGAATCCACAACAATCTAAAATTCCTAGGAAAAAATTTCTTGGGGAAAATCAGTGTTGTGTGGGGAAAGAAAAGATGTTTGCCATTGTCTTAATTGGCTTGTAAGCTCTTCTATTGGAGGCTTGAGTTGTATACTTAGGTTGAATTCTAACTGGAACACAGTTGTGTCCAAAGAATGTGTCTGAAGACTGAACCTTCTGCTTGCATTGAAACCAAATGATCTCCCTTAGAAATTCTCTAAGTGAAATAAAAATCAGGCAACTAATAGTAACTTTCCACTCTTCTCAAAAAATTATCAGGGACATAGAAGAATTTTAAAATATGAAAAAGCAACCGCAAGAACAAAGTGAAAGGTAGACAGGGTCCCATCCCCCAGAAGTAATCCTTGTCAACATTTAAACCCAGATAGCCTCCCAGGCATGACACACAGTCCCCAAATTACACTGAGGTTGCATCTCTAAATATGCTTCATAGCACAAAGGGTGTGACTGTTGGAATTGTGCGTGTGATCCTAGCACAACAGACACCCTTGTCTTGATATCTGTTAATAATACCAAAAACAATATTGCAATGAAAGAATATTGTTGACTTCATAAAAATGTAAAGAATATGGGCTATTTTGGGGCTCCTGGGTGGCTCAGCTGGTTATGATACTGGCTCAAGTAGTGATCTTGATGTCCTAAGATGAAGCCTGCTGTCAGGTGCTCAGTCTCTCAAAGTAAATATATATATATATGATTTTTTTTTTTAAGATTTTACTTTTAAGTAATCTCCACACCCAACATGGGGCTCGAACTTAACAACCCCGAGATCAAGAGTCACATGCTCTACTGACTGGGCCAGCCAGGCGCCCCCAACATTAGCTATTTCTAGTGTCAAAGTAGTGGAATTGCCCCATCCCTTTAATGCAAGGAGGCAGTTCAGAAGGACTTTCACCATCTATGCCCACAACTTATATAAATGTTATTTTTATAATGGCACCTGGATGGCTCCGTCGGTTAAGCATCTGACCAGCTCAGGTCATGATCTCACAGTCTTTGAGTTCAAGCCGTGCATCAGGGTCTCTGCTCTCAGTACAGAGCCCGCTTTGGATTCTCTATGCCCCTCCCCCACTCATATTCTCTCTCTCTCTCTCTCTCTCTC